TTTAACACATTACACATTTACACACATAGGGAAAACTGTTGTGGATAAATATGAAGAAAAAGTCTTCAGGCAAACAGACCAGGACTATTGAGCTTTTTTGAATGTTAAAAGATACCCAAATCATTGAGGTATTCGATATTACAAGGAAAAGAATATGTGGGACGATTATGCATCTTTCAGATAAGCCAGTTCCCAGTTTAATAGACTGCTTTTAGAAATCTTGAAAAAAATGAGTATAACCTAGTTACTGTAAAAGATGTTTAGCTACCAAAGCTACTAGCTTTAACTATTAATGGTATTTACAGATACTCAAAACATTTCTTTCAGATGCTGACTCTATTTTTAAAAACCCTGCCTTCGTTATAAACAATCAAGAAATAATGAAGTATTGAAAACAACTACTAGGAAAATCAGGTAAGGGATCACTCTGATGAATATTGGTGTGTGCAGTGTATGAAGGGCAACAATTGAGATTTCAGGGTTATGTAGGTGTCTGAAGATGAAAACAGGGTGTTTAAGCTCATAAGTACTTTTGCAATTCAGACTTGAATATCCAGCCTTATTTGAGCATTATGAAAACTCCATGAAATGAAAGTGCATTGCTAGATACCTGATATTTTTAATATCTGGTCCACAGAGGCTAACTGAACAATTCATTAGAACAGTATCATAGAATCACAGAATGGTTTGGCTGGAAGGGACCTTAAAGATCACCTGGTTCCAACCCCCCTGCCATGGGCAGGCACACCTTCCACCAGACCAGGTTGCTCAAAGCCCCATCCAACCTGGCCTGGAACACTTCCAGGGATGGGGCACCCACAGCTTCTTTCCAATGCCTCACCCATGTTATTCAACACTTACTTATATCAATATAACGAAATATGACTACTTCTAAGGGTAAGTGTTAACCTGTGTAGGTGAATCTCACAGATCTGGTGCTCAGCACATATTGGACTGCCAAGCAGTAGGTGTAAACTAATAGTTCATACTAGACCTGAACCTTGGGCAGCAGGCAAAAACAATGCCAGGCAAATTTGTTTTCTTTATTCTCTTCATACTTTAAAACGAAATCCAGTATTAACACAGTTAAAATAGATGTGTATGTCAGAGGTCAAGTAACACATCTGATATAATTTATAAAATTATATACACAAAATGCTATGAAATCGTTAGCATAGTTTGAAAATGGGACAAATATCTACACCCAAAGAGGATAAATATACAATCACGTACAGAGATTGGATAAAGAGATAAAGATGAAACCCTGTGAGGATGACTATGTAGTCTTATTTAATATCATCATCAGCTCTCTGAATTTCCCCCTTCTGATAAAACACAGAAGGATATGCAAATGAAAATACATTTAAGGAAAAAAAAAGCATATCCAATGTCCATGGTGTCATAAGAAGAGGACAGGGTATCCTCTTTAGCATGTTCAACCTGCATACCACCTTGAAGTCTTGTTAGAGTCTTGATAGAGTACTATGAGATTATTTGGTAAGTCTAGGCAAGATTCAAGGGCATAGATAGCCACTGCTCTCATTTAATTTTTCCTTCAACCTGCATGGAATCAGTAACAGGACTTGCTTAATCCATTAGCGTTATTTCACATTTACTCAGCATCTGTGTCTCAAGATGTCCAAGAGCGAGGAGCCTGGGATAACTGAGCATTTCCAGCGAAGTAGCCATATCTGTGGAAGCCATGGTCTCTCACACAGCTACAGGACAAACACAGCACCTCTACTCTCATGTAATTCTGACCAGGCCACTCCTAAAATGCAGTGGCACCATAATACCCATTATAAACAATGCAAATGGAATTTGCAGACCATCTTTAAAAGATGACTGAGAATATAGAAGGAAAGTTCAGAGGAGCCAAATCAAGTTGATTAAAAAACATGATGATTGAGTGAATCTATAATCCATTACTTCTGGAAGTAAATAATTAATGAGGATGTTGAGAACATCTTTAAAATGGTACAAGGAGATACAACTAGCAGGTATTGATAAAAATCCTCCTATCTTTCCACTGACCATAGGATCTTTAAAATGAAGAGCTGACTGTGGCATACAATGGCACACCTATGTTAGCCCAGGTCTCTACTGCAGAGTGACAGGGAGTATAGATACTGATATCAGCTTTAACTGAGCTAGTTCAGACACTAAAAGCAATTTAACCTCTGAATCACTGAGCTCCATGTGCAATATTTAATGCCTGCAATATAGACATACCTTTAATCTAACAAGTAACAAACAGCAGAGGGACTGGAATATATACTCTGTTTACGAGCAGGTACTAAGACTGGTGTTATTGCACCTTCACTGTCACTACAAATATTAGGGAAATTAAGGTAGCATTTGCCACAACATGCTTTATTCACTTCTTCCCTTTGCTGTGGAAACACATGCTGAGAATGATCAGTGTGAAGAATGGTTTCCAAAGGAGGTGAAAGAACCTCAGCACATAGGACGTAGGAAAGCAGGCTGATCTAACACCCAGAAATGCAGAAACCTGGTTCCTTGTGTGGGGATTAACTAAAGGCCCATCAGATCTGTTTAATCCTTAATATTTATAATTTTCCAGAGCTACTTCTTTACCCCCAAATTCTTCTTCATTGCTAGACAGCGATTTTCTTCCTCTCTGTTTTACTTCCCTTCTGGAGACAAACAAAGGATCATCAGAGTCCGACATCCTCTTCCTGGGATGTCTTTTGTTTACTGCTTTCCTCCTCTTCTTCTTTTTTCCCCTATCTTCTTTCACAATACTTTTCTTTGCTTCTTCTCCTCCTTCATCTTCCACAGAAGAGTGAGGATAGGGCTTTGTGGTCTCTCTGTCCAGGTTAGAAAAACCGAGAAAGAAATTCACTAAGCTAAAAGCACACATATCCTATACTATTTTAAATACTTCTTTACATGACATGGATTTCACCTTTTCCCACATCTCAGAGTACTGACAAGAGAAGGACTTATCACGCTCTTGAGCATTTGACAGGGCTATAAATATCTTACCATTCAGTTTCCCTTTCATTTATAAAATAAGTAAAGAATAGACTAAAACAGAGCTCTGGCCCCTAATTCTGTCTACCTCTTATGACTCCAAAAAGGATTTGGGCAATAATAGTCTTTTATGGTGTGGGCCCAGAGCACAAAGTGTTTTACTTTGCATGTGGAATTTGTTAGTTCCATTTGCAGAGTGTTTGTTCTGCCATAATTATTTCTTTCCACTGTGATGGCAGGAGAACACCCCAAACAGATGCTAGCATCTGATATTAAAATGACGAGAGCTGTATTAGTACCTCTAAAGATTGGTGAATTAAGCATGACCCCTAGTACACAGCACATAAACATCAAAAGACAATCCTAGAGAACCCAGAGCTGCAGTTAGCCAAGCTATTGTAATACATGTCTGTGCACTGTGGACTCCCGGTCAACAGCGAAGATTGGGCTACCCCTTCTACTTTTTGTCCCTTACTTCTACAGGACTTAGCACACAAAGATTGTCTCTTTTTGAGCTTCTAATATTGTATTGCATTCAAACTTTCTGTTTCCTTTCTGATTAAATTATGCTTCTACTTTATTTGTTTCTATCAACAATGTCAGCATGTTCTCATTAGACCTGTGCACACCCATGAGCTATATGCTGCGCTGTTCCCCTCTGATAAGTATGACATATTCTAGTTTAGAATATAATAAATAGTGAG